AGCTTGAGACAGAATCAGTTTCCCCCCATTTCCGCGTCCCACTAACGGATCGATTCAACTACGCCAGCCTGGACTGCTCTGCGCGTGTTCACACGTCGCATCGTACAGCGAAATCTCCATCTTCCATTCTTTCTTCGAAACGTGATAAATACATGCTGAGCCCATGTAACGCGAAGGGGGATCAGTTTGTTGTCGTAGAATTATGCGAAGACATCCGCATCGACACCGTGCAGCTCGCGAATTTCGAGTTCTTCAGTGGAGTCTTTAAGGACTTCACGGTCAGCGTGGCCAAGACTTACACCACCGACCCCGACGGCTGGGCTGTCGCGGGGACATACCGCGCAAAGAACGTACGTGGCGTGCAGGTACGTACTGTGCTCCCCATATTTCACCCCGTTACGTTTTATTTGTTGATCTCCACGTCGAAACACAGTCCTTCCATCCCCCACGACATCTGCGTGATTTCTACAGATATATCCGCATCGATTTTCATTCTCATTACAGCTCGGAATATTATTGCCCTGTGTCCCTACTTCGCGTGTACGGCCTGACGCACCTGGAACAATGGAAGTGGGACATTTGGGAAGCCGAGAGTCGCGCCAAGAGTGGCGAAGCTGCCGCCCACCCTGTGACTTCGATAGAAGTATCTAAGATAGCCACAGCTACCGAGTCCACCGTTGTATCTTCCTCTGTGTCGACTGATGAGGCGGAGGTTATGATTAGCAACACGGTTGCAGAAGCAATATTTTCTGATACTGTGGTCCACACACCCACAATCCGCAATTCGGAGAGCGAGTTGTCGAGCAGTATGCCAACAGCGTCAACATCTTCGTTTATTGTTGGCAAGGTAGAAATGTCGTCGGCGCCCGCTCCTGTTGTGGCCCCATCATCCACGACTTTGTCTTCGTCGACTTCGACTTCATCAGCGACAACGCCATCATCCACAATTTCCTCGCCGGCTGTTTTCTCAAACATGAGTACTACGTCTTCGGCCATCACAAGCGCATCTTCTGTTTCGCTTTCTGCGATGAGCACGAGCGTGAACACAGTGTCTATCGCCTCGGCACAGCCTTCCGCAGGAGCGCCACCTCCGGCGGGCACAGGAGGAGAGTCTATCTATCGGACAATCATGAATCGCCTGACGGCACTGGAAGCAAACAACACGTTATATGTGCGGTACTTCGAGGAACACACCGCAAGCATGCGGGATGTACTTCGTCGGACAGGCGAAGATATTGGTCGACTCGAGGCGTTGGTAAGTTTACTCTCGTGGATGTCTCGAGGCACTTACCCGGCCGTTCGCAGGGCAAAGCACAATCTCTGACTTTCCAGCGCTCGTTACGCGAGTGGGAGCGTCAGCGGGCTTTACTTGAAAAGGAATATGCGCGTCTGTCAACTCGTGTAGATTACCTTTCCAATGAGGTGCGTGGATGTGTATGAATTACACGTTTGGGGACTGATTCGGCGTAGATCATACTGGAGAAACGCTTGAGCATAGCGCAGCTTTGTCTGCTCGTGACTTTACTCGTGTTTATGGGACTGACACGTGGATCCCGTGGCATGTCCCACGCACCCATCCGCATCGAGAAGTCCATGCGGGATTGGGGCCGCCGGCAACTCAGCATGAGCGGGCGCTGGGTCGTCAGCCGCTTCAGCCGCAGTGGTACGCCCGAGCCCTCAACGACTCCCATCCCCGTGATGCCTGCCGATTCTGACGAACCTGCTGTGCTCGGTGGCAGCAATGGAGCGTCTTCGTCGTCGTCCAAACGCTCGCGCGCGGTGCGGCCTCATCGTTTAAACCTTTCGCTTACAGCGCCGCGGGAGCGTACGCCGACGCAGCGTGTTCCGCTTACACCTCGCTCGTACCGTACTAACTTGAACGGGGCCGTACTGCCCATGGTGGCACCTTCAGTGTCGTGGGCGGCGGGAATCGGACAGTCTCCACGTACTGCGCGCCGTTCGGCGAAGAGCGCGCACTTGCATGAGGTGAAAGGCCCTGCGCCCAGTGTTCGTGCATCGGATGCGTCCTCTTCATTGTCATCGCGAATAAGCCCGGAGGATCTGCAGAAAATTCGGGATGCACTCACAAAACCGATGTCAGGAGGGCGACCCACGGCTGCTACGCCGGTCAAACGACCAGATACTACACATATGAGGCGATTGCCGCAGACGGTGGATGTGATAGATTGGAAGCGCAGGGAGCGCGATCAGGTCGAGCGGGCCTGCCAGGTGGCAGCGGATTCGGGGAGTGATGTGTGGGAGGACACCGATGCGAGCGTAGGCGACGACGACGAGTCGAGTGTAGAGGCAGACAATGTCACTGATGAATCGCCATCGACAACCGCCTATATGTCGCCGGCGTGGCCGCCGTCACCGCGTCCGCCGCTCAGCTTCATGTCTACAGAACAAGTGTCATCTGTTGACCTTGCAGTGCGGTGATAACTTGGGCGACATACGATCCGTTTCTTTCTTCTAGAGTTCTCTCCCTCGCGACTTGCATGATGTCCTTCACTTATCTATTCTCAAAATCACAATGGATGGATCACGGATTTCACGACATATTCCTCACTTTCATCGTCGTCTCATCAGGGTGCACGCACGTCGTCATCGCCGTAATTGTCATACTATATCTGTATAATACATTTTCCAAGTCTTGTTCTGCGCAATAATGTACATGGGTTTTTTCTCCATCGTCCTGTCCGGAGGTAGGTTTTGCACCGTCAACGCTGTAGCGTTGGCTTGGTTTTCCCGTTCTTTCCTTTGATCGGGATACACCGCCATGAATCATAGAAGATGGAAACCTCGCCGATCAAAATGACGAGTCAACTTGCCGAGTCGGTGTTTATAAGCTCAAGCACAACTCTTCAATCCCTCATTTTATTTCCAGTCTCCGTCCACTATATTCGAGGATCTGCTGTCGATGTATATCTGACCTAATTTCCCTTTTTTCAAACCTACGGCACTTGCACACTGGACAATTCTATGCTCAGATAGCGTCGGAAACGTAGTGAGTATGAAGCTTGCGGTTATTGGTGGCGGCCCGTCGGCGTTCTACGTCGTTTCGCGCGTCTTGTCTTTATTGCCACCAGAGATCGCACCTGCACTCAGAATACATGTCTACGACCGGCTATGGGCCCCCCACGGACTAGTTCGATACGGTGTGGCGCCGGATCATCCAGAAGTCAAGGTACGAAGGTTAGTTTCTATATCGTGCACTCCACCCTTCTGACGATGTGCTTGTAGAACTGCACACATAAATTTGACGACGCAGCAGGAGACCGCCGCTTCCGCTTCTTCGGCAACGTCAACGTCGGTGGTAAACCTGCAACTAAGAACATACCGCACGCGGTACAGTTGCCATTCCAGTCTCTCTTCGAAAATTATACACATCTATTACTTGCAACGGGATGTGCGCTGCCGAAGCTCCACCAGGCACTCCCCCCATCTCAGTACTGCATCCCAGCCCTGTCTCTTGTTCACTGGTATACCAAGCATCCCTTCAATACCCCCGCACCGCCCCTCGATAAAGTCACGCATGTATCCCTGATAGGGAACGGTAATGTCTCCATGGACATCGCGCGCATGCTACTCGTGGCTCCGCAAGAACATCTTGCTAGACACGACATTCCGGCTTCCGTGTTTGATGTCCTTTCGCGCTCCTCCGTTCAGCACGTATCCATCTTTGCTCGAAGGGGCCCTCTGGAAGCTGCGTTCACGACCAAAGAGCTTCGTGAGCTGATGAACCTGCCCGACGCGTCCATGGTGCCCCTCGACCCGGCTGTGCTCACGCCGGGGGCGGGGACAACACTCACGCGGCAGCAATCGCGCTCACTCCAGCTGCTACAAAAAGGCTCAAAGAATCCTCTAGGGAGCACACGCAAGACATGGTCACTCGACTTTTTCCGCTCGCCGACGGGACTGTCTCTTGAACCGACTCCAAGGCTCGCGCTCGCACATACAGCCGTCGACCCGGCGACAAAGCGTGCGGTGCCTACAGGAGAGACCAGCATTGTCGACACATCGCTGGTAGTCACATCTCTTGGCTTTCAGGCGGAGCATACGCTACCGTGGTTCGACGCAGCGACAGGCCACCTCGCGACGCGTTCGGGTGGTCGCCTAGCACGTCACGTATACGCCTCGGGGTGGGCGGCGAACGGCGCGCGCGGTGTACTCGCATCGACGATGCTCGACGCATACGCGGTTGCGGACACGATCGTATCGGACCTGATGCCCCGCGATGCGGCCATTGCGCCGACGGCCGTATCGGAACCGGCTGAGGAGGGACAGAGCGAGTTGGACGATGTGATGTGCAGGGACCCCAACCCGGAGGACCCACCAGCGGAGATACGCGAAGCACTGGTGGCGGGCGATGTCTTCGAGTACGACCAGTGGAAGACTATTGATGCGGAGGAAGTGCGCCGCGGCGCTGAGACGGGTAAGGAAAGAGAGCGGATGAATTTCGATGAGGCTCGTCGGTTTTTGGCGCGTGTGGAACCGTAGCACTGTTTTTTCGTTGCCAATCTAGGTTTCTGCCCTAATCCAATCAATAAATCTTAGCGACACGAATCGTATTCATGTCGTTCAGGCCGCCCATGCGTGCGCCTGTTGCTTGACACAGACTCGCTCGCGCCATGCTTTGCTGCATTTTTTCTGCATCGTGTGCTTCTGTGCTGCAAGGACAAATCGTGTCTGCATGCAACCTCACTGCTCCGTTATTGCGATGACACTTGCGTCAAGCGATCCGTTCAAAGTTCCAGGTTTACTTCAACTTATACCGCTGTGATGTTGTCCTTAGGTGGGCTTCAATTATTGAATTTTCTTTCACACCACCGGTTGGCGCGCACGAAAACAAACTATTGACTGAATTATGCATTCCAACGGAGGATAATGGTAGTGAATGCGTCAAAATTGAAAAAAAAAATGGAAAGTGGGTGCTGCTAACGACGTTGTAACTTGCTTTCAAAGGAGCGCAAAAGTAATTCTCAGCATCAATCTGGGATTGCCCCACAGCCGATTCGAACGACTGACCTCATCATTACGAGTGATGCGCTCTACCAACTGAGCTAGCAGGGCCACATAACAGGCTTGTACGCGTGTGTTATGTTTTGTGGCTTACTGGAATCAGTGATGGAATCAAATCTATGAAAGGTTCATTCGACTGAACTGTAATGAGCCACTCGCATCTGTGCTTGTGTCTGTTTGTCATTTCCCAATTTTTTTTTCTGTCATGAATATCTCGCGTACAGAACTCGTGCAATGGGTCAACGACCTGCTGCAACTCAACTACACCAAGGTCGAGCAGTGTGGCACTGGCGCTGCATACTGCCAGATCATGGACTCCATCTACGGTCAGCTCCCTCGCGCGTTTGTCGCCCGTCTACACTCACTAATGCGCCATCGTAGGCGATCTGCATATGAGTCGCGTCAAAATGAACGCGAAACATGAATACGAATACGTTGCCAACTTCAAAATCCTCCAAACTTTCTTCAAAACAAAGAAGATCGACAAGGTGGGCTCATTCGCCTGATATCCTGCGCGAGAACCACCACAATCGACACCAGTTTCACAGCCAATCCCCGTGGAGAGGCTGATAAAATGCAAGATGCAGTGAGTTGCCATCGTCGCACGTTATCTCCCGTATACCATTCTCGCGTTACCGACCGTGGCGTTTTGCAAACTCCCTACTCCCACTCTCACTCTCACACACCCACACACATCACGTATGCTCAGGGACAATCTCGAGTTTCTGCAATGGATCAAGAAATTCTGGGACTCCAATTTTCCGGGGCACGAGTACGACGCGGTCGCACGGCGAAAAGGCGCACCGATGGAGCCACCGGCGACGCTCGCGCCCATCGCGGCTGGGCGCAGCACGAGCAACGTCCACAGTGGTACCACGTCACGCTCCGGCGGCAAAACACCTATCGGCGGCCATCGATCCACATCGGCCATGTCCAATGAGGCTGTCAATGCCCTCCGAGAACAGGTCAAAGAGCTCACCAACCATCTCGATGGTCTAGAGAAAGAGAGGGATTTCTACTTCGAAAAGGTACGCACGTTTTGCCGATACACGCGTCTGCACACGACCGAGCCATCGATTTGTTTGCAGTTACGTGGAATCGAAATCCTTGTCCAGCAACAATTGGAGGTGCTGGAGGCCGAGGGCAAGCAGGACACGACGCTATTGGAGATCCAAAAGCTGCTATACTCAACGGAGGTCAGTCAACTTTGCTCATAGTACACCTATTTCGCATTCTGATCTTGCTTCCCCATCTGTTGCAGGAGGGCTTCGAGGTACCAGAGCAAGTTGAAGCACCCATCGATGAAGAGGAGACATTCTAGACGTGGAAGATTTGGCTTCATAGCACGTTGTATAGGACCGAGCGCTCTTTCTTCTTGACTGCTCTGATTTCTTGTTCCACTGCTTCTCTTGCCGGGTCGTGCTTTTAATGCATTTATACATTTTCCTTTTTTAATATTATATTTCACATTCGCAGCGGTTTCTTCTCGGATCAGACGCCTCTATTCTATAGCATGTTTTCTTGGTCTTGGCAATACGGTTGTTCGATCGCAGTCGAAGTCGAGACTCGAGACTGTTCGATGCTGTCTGCATGACTCTGCAAGGTAGCCGGGTAAACTTGTGTAACTGCACAAAGGTGCGAACTACTGTTTTCTTTCCCTGAAAGCAGTCTCGCTCTTTCATACATGCGTATTACAGGTTCGTAAGTAGTGTTCCTCTTCTGACGTTGCATATTTTTCTTCTCGGAAAGCTGAATTTGGCAATCATTTTTCCTTATTCGAGATCTCGGATTGTCTCCGGATTGAAGTAAGCGCATATGACTCATCGCTTATTCCCTAGCAATCCAATATCCGGCTTTGTATCACATTCAAGGGCTGAAGAGGACTAGCTGAGGCAGCGTGGCCGATGTTTCCCAAGAGGCGCCGGCCAGACCGCGGATGTTGAAGACTGGTCGCCGCAGTGTCTCCATCCCTTCCGTCGGAACGTCCGATGATCCATCCGTTGATAAGCTACAAGTGGTAATATCATCTAATTACTCACTAGTACTCACTTACTTATCGGCGGTCCAGGTGTCAATCGTGCCCTTCAACCCCGAATTGCGGCTCCGACCTTTGCGTTGACAAGATGACGAGACGCTCTTTCCGTGGGAGATATCCTTCCTATGTGTGCCGCGGTTCCACGCAGTTGGATCCACGCGTGCTACTGTGCATATATACCCCACCGTCACGCTAGAGCTGTCCTTTCACCCCTGCCCTACTTTGTCTGGCGCAATTGGGCGCTAAACCTCGTACCATCTCATTGATCACCCGATTTCGTCTGTCTAGCTGTCTGACTCTATAATACTTATACGCAGAAGCTGTGGCTGCTTTTTTGGTCTCTCTCCCTCGTTTAGTTTCATCCTTTCATTTCCGAGCCTCATTGCACTCGCTTACTTCAACTCCTGATTTCAGTGGCGCTGCGCCGCCACACCTTTATCATAGGCGTATCGCATACTAAAGGAGAAGGGGATCGTCATCTGCCCCGCTGATCCCGGAGCTCTCTCATCACCTATGGCGCACAAGACCTTCACTCACGATGCTGATACACCCACCTCTGAGGTGCATGGCAGTGTGCGAAAGAAATCCTCCACGCCGCTGCACACGTTCACCTTTACGGGGAAACATTACCTGAATACTCAAGTAGAAAACACGCGCGGCCGCGTTGTGTACACGATCTCCACAACAAAGCGGCATCTGCGCCGCGCTGTGACGTCCATCGTAGACGCGAGGGGCCGCCTGTGGGCAGAGATTCACTGGCCAGATCGCACGTTCCGCGTCAAGAACAGAGTTTTCAGCTGGGATACCGTGAAAACTGTATCCGAGGGTAATATACCATTCATGAAGAAGTGCGTTTCGTGTTTTTTTTTCTCCCTTGTTCTTCTGTTGCTTCGTTGCCGTCCCTCTCGCTCTGAGGGGGTAAGGGACTACAAGAAGATGAGGCACTGCATACTGAAGCCTTTGTCTCGCGTTGGTTCCATGTATTCACGCGCATTATAGGAACCGAGTGTGGACATGGGCCGGACGTGACTACGTGCCCGAGTATCACAAGGAGCAGGGATGGTTGGTGAGTGTGCAGGACCCCGTATCACTCGTGGCCGACATGACCGAGGCAGAAGTCTGGCTGGCGACAGCCACAATTCTACATCTTTCTTCATGTCACCCACGGTGTTCACGGAGCCGTAAAACGTGACTAGAATGTGTCAACTGATATTTATGATTGTTTTTTTTTTCTTTTGGGACAGCTGCGAGACACGCTCGCGAATGGTGTGGTCGCGAGCTTCGCACCGAGCCACCTGCACATATTCAACCCCTCGGAGCCACCCGTTTTCCGGATATGCGTAGATGATATCTACTCGAAAGACACGGCGCTTATTCTGCTGATATTGCTATATTCCGAAGCGCGACGGCTTAGGAGAAGACGGGTAAGCCTTGTGGTTTATTCATCTTTGCGGCCGCACAGCCTCCATGTCAGCATAGGCCAGGATACTGATGACTTTTCCCGATCAAACTACAGCGAAAGCACCTCGGCATTGGAACAGCCGTCAAGGTCCTCTTTGTCATGCTATTACTATGACATGTCTATGTATTGTTCCCAACTGTCACTCCAGTTATATTTCCCGCTCAAGTTCGGGCGGATAGTTATGAGTATCAGTGTCAGATGTCAGTATTGTATCTTCTGCGCATATATTTGTTAAGTAGTGTATTTAAAAGTCAATCGTTTCCGGATATGGTATTGCCGAATTGGGTCGCGCTGCACGGTCATGGCACATGACTCATGTATTATGTTTCTGTGAAAACCGACCGGTTCAAACGCCTCGAAAGTTTGCCTTTGACTTCAAAGCTTGAATCTTAAGTATTAAATCTTGAAGCTTCTCAGGCTTGAAGCGTAAGAATCCTGTGAAGCTGACATGTATAGGAAGAAGGCTGAAATGGCGCAGCGGAATCTTGAGACTTGCTGCATAGAACATGCGATTGATATTAGATACGCTACAGATCGAAAGCAAAGGGAGTATGTGAATAGAGAGTGTTCTGAAAACAGATTGTTTGTGTGCAAAGATGCTGGAGTCTAATACGGTCAGCACATCTTCCGAGCGTCAAGAACAGGAATATCGCGCGTATGCACGATCTTCAGGGCGCGTGTTTCCACTCTCCACATGACCTCATCGGCAAACTTAATTGCGCGCTCACCTACAGTAGCCAGAGGCACAGGGAGACGCAGCAAGCCGGCATTCTCAAGAGCCTCTAGGAGCCGCAAGATCCAGCGCTTACAAGAATCGTCGGGGTACACCGGCACCCGCTCAGCGATGCAAGAGATGTGGCGGACAGTGTCCGCACGACGCGATACAGAGAACTTCTCTAACAGCACACGCGTAATGAGAGTGGTGCTACGCGCTTGATTTGTCAGGCGGCGTCGCCTGTACCACGGTACACTGGTCTTTCGCCCCGTAACAGGGTCTTGCATGACGTTGGCGAGGTCCCAGCAGACGCAGTTCAGATTTTGTGGGTCGTCTTCTGCCGGCGGAGGATCAGCAGGAGCCAGAAGAAGACTCCAGTGGTATCCTTGTGTTTTCCGTGTCAATCGTTCACTTCACTTCACAGACCAAGTTCAAACGAGTACTCACCTGGAGAGTTGTGGCGGTGGTTGAGAGTCAGATACAAGCGGTCCTTGTCAGCCTCAATGAAAGGCATATCGACCTGTTGTTGAATATGATATTGAACCCCGAACGCCGCCCACCGTTTAAATACGAGCTCGTTGCTTAGACCTACAAACAAAGTAGACGGCGTCGAAAAATGCATGCCAAAGCGCGCCCATAGGGGCAAAAGCGGTGACTGAAAGGGTTGATGATTGTTTGGAGCAGCCGAACGCCTATGTTACAAACTGCTACAATCTACCATGACGCCGAGACGCGCTTGAGGTACTTCATGAATTTCCAAAAGCCGACCGCGTACTCGACGTTGCCGTAAAGGTCCGTGACGCGCTCGGGCCACGCAATGCCCGCACCATACAAACCAG